AATACGTAGAGTTAATCGTAAATTTGGTTTACTACAGAAGAATTGAAAAAAAGGCAGCAATAGGGAGGACGAAATGAGAAGCCGGGGACAGCCACCACTAGTAAGTTCCTTAGAAGGGGGGGTATAAAGAGGAAAGAAGCAAAGAAAGGCATATATAGAACATGTTGTAGGGAAAAATAGTTGGAAGAGGTGGGAAGTGAAACCAGCAGATAGAATCAATCTAGATAGCGCTGTATTTCTGTCTACCTCCCTCCACCCCACACACACTTTACCTTTCCGATTCAGAAATAAATAAATGAATCTTAAAACTTGAAGACATAATGTGTGGTGGGCGTTCGGATCAACGGTTAGAGTTTTCGGCATGGGGCGCTCCCGTCTCATGCAGTGGAGCATGGGTTCGATTCCTGAGTCTCCTCTGATTCAAGCTTTGTGCAGAGGCATGCCCTGGGAGGCAGCAGGTGAGGTTTCAAGTGCTTGGCTCCCTGACATCCATGTGTGGGGAATTGTTAGAAAGCCCCACGGTGAAAAAATAGAGTCAGACGCTATTGGGTGTGAGTGACGGGAACTGTCAGGGCTGCACCCCAGAGTCTCCACTGGTGGGGAGCTAGAGTCATACTGGAGTAAAAAATCCAATCCTGGCTGGCGCCGTGGCTCAACACCGGGTTCTAGTCCCAGTCGGGGCACCGGATTCTGTCCCGGTTGCCCCTCTTCCAGGCCAGCTCTCTGCTGTGGCCAGGGAGTGCAGTGGAGGATGGCCCAAGTGCTTGGGCCCTGCACCCCATGGGAGACCAGGAGAAGCACCTGGCTCCTGCCATCGGATCAGCGCGGTGCGCCGGCCGCAGCGCGCCGGCCGCGACGGCCATTGGAGGGTGAACCAATGGCAAAGGAAGACCTTTCTCTCTGTCTCTCTCTCTCACTGTCCACTCTGCCTGTCAAAAAAAAAAAATTTTTTAAAAGGTAAATATCATCAGTTGTCGATAAACCTCAAGTCCAAATCTTGAGCTTAACATTTGAGCTTAAACCCATGTTGTGCAATTTCTACTCAGAATCTCCATATATGCCTATAATGCGTATCTTACAAAATTCTCAAACAAAATCCCATAAACAACTTGCTATGTTTTCTACTTCAATTTTGCCATCCTTCGCAATTTTTGAATATGCCTTTCCCTTTATACCACTTGGAAGTTTGAAGTCTTCTTTTTGCTTTTATTTTTTAAAAGCCCATATATATTCTTCATGCAAGACTTACTCTCTTCACCTTCAAAATGTATCAAAATTTTTCTTCAAATATTTGTGGCAGACCCTTGAGTGTTTTGACTTTTGCCTAATAGAGGAATAGTGTAGGAAATTAAGAACTCAATAAGTGTTTTATATGATGGGAAAGAAACATTTATGTCGATGATGGATTAAGTGAGATCAGAGGTAAAATAATATAATATTGATGAAAATTGCGTGTCTTTAGTAGCACTGGGAAATCAATAATGGAGAGGTCAAATTGTCTGACTTTTTTCAGGGATCATTGCAAGGTCATATAGAACTGCATTGTTTGTTTGAAAATGGATTATTTAGAGAATAAATAGTTATTCTCTAAATTAATAAATATTATAATTATTATAATAATACATAATATATAATATTATTAGAGAATATAATATAATATTATATATTATATAATATATAATAATACATAATATATATTATATAATATATAATATTATTAGAGAATAATTATTCTCTAATAATAAATAAACTATTATTTAGAGAATAAAAGAGTTAATTTTTTTTTAGATTTTATTTTATTTATTTGAAAGACAGGGTTACAGAGAAAGGTAGAGACAGGGAGAGAGGTCTTCAATTTGCTGTTTCTCTCCCCAGTTTGCCGCAATGGCCAGAGCTGCGTCAATCTGAAACTCGGAGCCAGGAGTTTCTTCCAGGTCTCCCACGTGGGTGCAGGGTCCCAGGGACTTGGGCCATCTTCTACTGCTTCCCCAGGGCATAGCAGAGAGCTGGATCAGAAGAGGAGCACCCGGGGCTAGAACCGGCGTCCATATGGGATGCCGGTGCTTCAAGCCAGGGCTTTAACCCGCTGCCCCACAGTGTCATCCCCTCGAGTTAATATTTTAACTAGTTCCATTTTCCACTCTTAGAAACTGGACCAGTGTTGTGTTGTACTGGGTTTTGGACACTGCCTTCAACACATACATCTTATATGGGTTGCTGGTTCAAAGTCTCTGTCTCTCAACTACTGATCCAGCTTCTTGCTAATGTGCCTTGGAAAACTTGGTCCCCATCACCCATGTGGGAGATTAGGAAAAAGCTCCTGGCTCCTGGCTTTGGTCTGGCCCAGCCCTGGCTGGTACAGACATTGGGGAATGAACAGGCAGATGAAAGATCTCTCTCTACCTCTGTCTCTTCCTTCCTCCCTCCCTCTCTCTCATAACTCTGCCTTTCAAATAAATAAATAAATGTTTAAAAAGCTAGAAATAAACTGATGACTCCAGGAAAAAAAAAAAACCCTCTAATTTCTTAAGGAATTTTTTGTTGCAATGTATCCATATAGTGTAGTCCATCATTATTCATGGGGGATATGTTCTAAGATATGCACAGGATTCCTGTATACACATATACTTATATATAGATAGAGAAAGAAAGATAGATATAGAAATAGATACAGCTATAGATATAGGTATAATATAGCTGTTTTCTATCCATACATAAAAATTTAATGTAAAAATTGGGCACAGCCAAAGAG